GACGCTTGAAATAAATAGACCTTTTGAATAGGTGTATATGCACACCAAACGTGTCCATCTCCCGATCGGAATATCCAGAACAGTGTTATAAACTCATTGTTAAATCTATTGCACCTTGGCCTATCAATCAATCATTCAGAACGCCCTCCACATACATGCACACACACCGTACCACTGTCGTCCTATCCTATCTGCGTGCTGTCGATCTAATTCGCCTCGTGGTGATCCACGTCTATGACTCTGATTTCGACGCCGTTTGCACATACCCATGTTTGCTTCAATACGCCGCCCTGTGTTGTAGCTCACATGAGTGACTGACTCTGACACACACAGACACGCCCGTGTACACACCCACACAAGCTAACTCCCACTTTCCCTTCTCGGCGTTCACTAACGTTGACTAACGTTCGCACTCACCACGTTTCGATTGGTTCTCCCTAGGTCACTTCCCACTGTTGGTTATCACAGGTGCATATCCCCTGGTTTGTCAACGTCTGATTTATTCGTTCGACTGCCACCGTGATGCGCGCCTGCATGCTCACAGTCTGTTGCCATCGTGGATTCCGGTGTTTGCCGTGTCCAGGTTGAGGTTTTGCATATTTTACACCATTTTAACTCATATTTCAGTACCATTTTGTTGAATAAACCCAATGTTTACAGGGTACATCGTCTTTTGGGGTTTTTTATGTGTGGATCTTTGCAGCCTATGAAGTCAGAACTGATCGAAAGGATAACTCACGAACAGCAACATGTGGTATTATTCGGTTGCTAGCGTACCGTGACTGGTTAGCATGTACGTATACATATTCGACCTTGGTTGCAGTGACTCACCTCAGCAAGTTCAACCAGGCGACTGATTCGGTCCCGTGCTTCGTCACATATCGTATTCACTGCCAGATTCTCCGGACCAGGTGAGAAAATTGGAGCTGATGTATCACCGGATATCAACTTTTCCAAATCAGCATCTACCCACTGGAATTGATTGATACGCAACAACGGACCGGAGGGATCAAATTCCTCGTTCAACTGTTCCCTCACCCTAGTGGCCCGTTCGTGAAGAGTGCGCCAAACGGGTAGCTGACGTCGCACCTCGGTCAGACTAGTCAGATGAGCCATCTTAGTTGCCGCTCGTGCGATGGACTCACATTCGCTCAACCGATCGGTGAACAGTTGCATGGCAACTGACACATTGTCCACAAGCTCCTTCATTCGCGTCAAAGTGATGAGAAATCGATCCGTGCGCTCGGTCCATTGCATCACACTGTCTCGTCCATTCGCAATGGTCTGTTTGATCGTTGTGGCCATCACAGGCGAACAATCGGAACAGATCAGATCATGCATCACATCTAATTGATCCGCACGGTGCACAAGTGTGCCCAGTTTTGGTTGAACCTGATCGGTCAGACTGGAGATCATGTTGGTCAGGATCGTTCGATCGGGTAGAATCATTTGACTCAGATCGAACTCCGCTCGATAGTGACGATAACAAGCGAGCAGACCGATTTGTACAGAATCTTGCAATTGATCAAACTGTTCCAGTGCGTGCAGGAAATCCTCTTGCTGACGAACGGCCCGATTCCATCGAGACAATTCGCGAGTGACTTTCTCACCGAGTGTACTCAGACGGATTTGAGTGGCCGCGAAACGAGTGAGTAGTTCAGGATCGGCCGGCCAATAGAATGTGGAAGTGAGTGCATTCTCCAAATCCGTGGACTCATTCTCGGCACACGTGCTCAATGGTTCGGACAGACGAGTACCAAACTGATTCAGCTCATTCTCGCGTTCTTTGATACCATGAAGTGTTACCTAGAAATGGAAGAATTGGATGAAATTACGCAAGAATAACAAAAAAACTTAAAAAAATCGAATTCATTGACGAGCATGGGAATCGGATAGATTTGATCATGGCATTCTGTTCACAAACGTGCATGGTGCAGACGAAGCGCTCACCCTAGGAGGAGGAAACAGCACCAGCTCGCAGACCCGGTTTTCCAAGCACACAACGATCGGTTTCACAGCGCAGTGGTTTAGTCGCTGTCATGGGAGTGCTTAGGACCCTATGGTCCGGGGTTCGATTCCCGCCACCGTCACCCGACTGTAATGGTAGGCAGCTTTGCCATCGTCCGGTTCAATACCACGCCTGGGCTAACGGAGCCTTATGCGGTTCACCACTCCAAGTCCCGGGGCCTAGATTACCGGTTACCATCACTGAACAGAAGGTCCGCTTGACTATGGGGTTTACCCCGTCTGCTATTCATCACACGAAAGCGTGCAAAAAAAAATCAAATGAATAAGTTTCACAGCCAATCTACCTCATAACCTCCGCCCTCCGATTGGCTGCGCTACACTCTCGTGCTCGCTTGTCACGTTGGAATTTATCGTTTGCCTCGTCCATATTCCGGTGCTAATCATGTAAAGAATCTATATATATTCTCGTCAGGAATTCTGTGCCTATCGCTGATTGTTTTCTTGGTGCGAGTCATAAAAGTCCTTGGATCAAAAAACGCAGACGGGCCGAATGACAGACTGCACTTACTTGCGCCCCTCCTGCCAAGATGATTGCGCCATCATTGGTCAGCCCTAATGTGCGCTCGCTATTTGCGAAGATCACGGATTTCACCTCTATTCTGAACACCCGCATTAATTCCAACACATGTGTTGTCTGTGTACAAGAAACCTAGTTGAACATTGAGGACGTTCTCTTGCGAATAGAAGGGTTTGATTGCTACCGGCAGGATAGACAGCGAAAGAGGAAAATAACCGGAGGCGGTGTGGCCACTTACATCAATGTTTCCTGGTGTGGCAAGTCAGAAGTGATATACAACTATTCTGAAAAATTCATTGACTGTTTGTCTGTTCGTTGTCACTCTAAATTTTCTCGTCACAAAAGTACATTCATCACCAATGTGTATATATCTCCCTAGTGTACTCGGACCCCCGCTTCCGTTTGATCTGTTTGACCTTTCTCATGCTCCTACCAGAGGTAATTATGTGCTTGACTGAGTGATCACAAACCATCCCAACATATTCTCTCTCAAACTAATGGCCCCGGTTTCTACCAGTGACCATAGTATTCTTCTTGTTAGACCAAAGGTATACTCTCGCATTGCTTATCAAGCATTCACACGTTCTACTCAGATAAAATTTCATCTAAGGGACTTTTCACCCAACCGTATCTCTCTTCTCAGTCGTTTTACTGTAATTGTTCA